AGCCTTTGGGATTCCCCAGAGGTGCTCAAGGTACAGCCAGGGGAGATCCTGCACCCCACCTCCCAATCATTCTTTACTTCAGAGAAGCAATTCACTTCCACTATAAACGTTAAGCTTTTGTGCAAGATTATGTTGGAAGAAAGGATTCTTCTCTTTAAAAAGCTTAGACATCCTGAATTAATACAACAAATACAATTATAGGTACTTGTACATCTTTGGGATAATAGAAGTGTCTAAGGATTTGTACTTAATCACCACAATATGTCTGAGCTTATACAACCACCCGGGCACTGAACTTGACTGAGCAGGCAGCATGTCACGTGACCAGGTCTGTCATACTCACTCTGAACTCTGGGTGAAGGCATTTTCATGCTTGTTTATATAATGAGTAAACTGACATGCACAAATAACAGTAAAATTTGGGGACTGGCAAAAATAAATAAACCGATCCTATGAATAAACTTAGTTCACATTCTTATGTTTAGGTTGTTAGGTCTGATCTATAGGCCCTCCAACTTCCTTTAAGAGGATGGATCTAGTCAGTACTCGGGCTGTTGCACAGAGGATTGTCATGAGTAAATTATCATTTTATTTTGTAATAAGAGCAACTATTTCTTTACCTTTCAAAGAATGTAAAAACACACACAAAGAAGCGTTTTGTTTCCTAGAAGGTGAGATCAGGGTTAAAGGTCGTGCTCAGGGTTCCTTTCTGGGTGTGGACTGTGTAGGACCCTAGAAATGTTCCCTCCTTCCATGTCTGGCAGCTACAGATGGGAAGAAGGCAGGCAGGTGACAACAGTCATTCATTCCGTATATATTTACTGAGTGCCCACCATCACTGGGCATAGTGGTAAAGGTAGGGGATAGTGAATAAGGCTCCAACGCTGCCTTAGAAGTTGTATTCTAATGTAGAGTGGGTACGTAGTGAACACATACACATAGCAATCACAGCATGTGACAATGCCCGTGATGCACACAACAGGTTGAGGGCGGGTCCTTTCAGACAGGGGCTGTCTAAGAAAGGCCTCTGGGAGGCAGAAGCATAAGTGCGTTTTAGAAGGCCGCAGCTGGCCTCTGCCGACTGCCAAGGCCACAAATGAGTGGCACTTACTGCACTTGATAGCTAAATGTGTGCCATCTGCACCAAACAATTAAAATGCTGTGGGCGCCCTGAGGGGCCAATATAGTTGGTGACTGCCTGAATAGGAACAGGAAAACACGGCACAGTTAATTTACTACGTGCTTACATTTTTCCTTCATTTCTTTCATGCAAAGATGGCCTGAAGGACTTAAAAGTAATATATGCAAGATCTGTCCTTTAGCATGCCCTACAATGTTGTTTTCACAACCGTGGAGAATCCTCACCACACATGTAAGAAATGCATCTCTAATGAAAGTCCTTTTTATGTTATTACTGTACAAGTGGTAAAGGAATAAAATACTTTCTAAAAATTGGTTTAATTTTCAAAATCTACGCATAACATTTAAAATATGTTAAAGGGACAACATGGTTATCAAGTAATATGACTTCTGTTAATACAATTTTCCACCTTCCATTGCTATTCTTTCATTTTGATTAGTTGCGCTTTCTTATTTTTTGTTTTTTTAAAGCCAGTCAGTGGGTCATGTTTCTTAAATAAAAATATCTGAAAGATATATGCAGACAAAGCAGTTTCAGATTTACAGTAGAAATACTAGGCCCCAGTCTCTTCCGAGCAAATGTAATTCATCCATCTACACAACCATCCATTCAATATTTATCGAGTCCACTAAACCTCTAGGTAGAACATGCTGGAGCCAGAGGCGTATTATGGCCCGACCCCCAGGCTGGGTGAATGCTGCTGATGCTCTTTCTCTGCACAGTTACTGTGGCAGTTTTCCGGGAGGCACGTAAATAGCCACCATGTGGTTAGATGGCCTAAAATAAAGAGCAATTTGAAATTATGCACTCAGTGTGCTACCAACGGACTGGCAGGATGAATTCGGGAAAAATACAAAAAGCGGTTTACCTGGGAACCCCAAAGAAAAGAAAAACTTATATTACCAGGGAACTTCAAGAAGGCATCTGTTTACAATATAAGAGATCACTAGTTTTTGTACCAGTTTAAGAACATCATGATTAAGAAGCATCTTGCTCAAAACAGCAAGAAAAATAGAATATGTCTAAGCATAAACTTAACAAGAAATATATAGGACCTGAATTAAGCAAAGCACAAAATCTAAATAAAGACCATTTAAAAGTTTTACTTTTTTAAATTAGTTAATGTTATCAGTAGTCTTCCTATGTTCATTGGTTTCCTGTCATGCTTGAATTAGAATTTGCATTCTAAGATTTGAGAAATTCAATAGTGTTTTCTTTAAAACTTGGCTGAAATGCCTTTGCTATCACAGAGATGTCCCCTGACCAGAAGTTAGCCCCCCCACTTCCTCTCTCCCTTTATATAAAGATCACAGTGCACATCACATCCTGCCTTATTATGTTATTTTTAGTATTCTCCAAAGTCTCTTAGTAGATTGTAAATAACCGAGAGAAGAAACCTCACTTTGAATGTCTGTGAATGTATTCAGTATCTAGAATATGCCTTGCATACAGTGCTACTTAAATATTTATGTAATTGAATTAACTGGTACTCTTTGACTGTGTATATCGATATATCCAGTCCTCACTAATTAGATATAAATTTGTGTGAAAATTTGTGACTAGTTATTTTTTGCTTAGAAGAACTGTTCTACCCTCTCAGACCTGCACCACACCCATTAAGAGCAGCACATGAGACTGGGTTCCTAGAATACCTGTGTAGGCAGGCAGGTCATGCAAAGGGGTTCCTAGCACCAGGGATGGCAAGTGTGGAGCCATAGCACCAAGTGGCATGAGCACATGCATGCATACACACACACACGCTGGAGCTGAATCACCTGACAGCATGACCATTCTGCCCCCAGCAGTGGCATAGATTCCACCTTGGTCATAGGTCTGCCTGGTGAAGTTTTGATGATGTCAAAGACCAGCTTCCTATAGGTAGGTAGACAGGCTCTCAACTAGTTAAATACATTGTTATTAGCTCGGATGGATTCGTCCATTGCAGCTCCTATGCCCTCTATCCATTACTGGTTCCATTTCCTCTCTTCATTGTCTCCTGAGCCCATTCAAATAGGCTTTAAGTCCACCAAAACTGCTCTGGTCAAGGCCATCAGTGACCTCTGGGTTGCTAAATGCAACGGTCAATTCTCAGTCCTCTCCTTACTTGACCTGCAAGCAGCATTGACCCACCTCTCACTTCACTGCTCCCAGAGGCTTCATTTGACTCTCAGGATGCAATGCTCTCCCGGCTTTCTCCTACCTCACTGGATGGTTCTTCCTGAGCCCTTAACACTGTGCATACCTCCGGTGCAGTCCTCAGACTGTTTCCCTTTCCTACTTATATTCATCTTTTTGGCGGTCCCATCCAATCTTATGGCTTTCAATTCTATTTGCAGACAAATTTCAAATGTTATTTTCTACAGCCAGATTCATTGATCCAACTGCATACGCACCAACTCATGTAGCTAATATACATCTCAGACTTCCATTCCAAAACTGAACTTCCACTCTTCCCCCAAATCTGCTCTTCTCACAGCCTCTCCATTTGAGGAGATGACAACCATCCAACTATTTAAAAAAAAACAAAAAAAACAACAACAACCCTAATGTCATGGGTGGACTAAAGGAAATAGGATATGTAAAGAACTTAGCATATTGCTGAGCAGTCAGTGCACAATAAATGTTAGCTTCTATTTATGGCTTTTCTAGAAGGTCTCAAGGAGATTTGACTTGTAAAATTGAAGTTATTAGCTCATTTTCATAATAACTAAATTTTATTCTTAAACACATGCGATTTCAAGATTTCAATTAAACGAGATGAAGAAAGTAAAATGTGCTGCTGTGCTCATGGCTTAGCTCCTAAAAAAAGAAGAAAAGTCACCTTTCCCAGTAAAACTGTCACAAGAACCACAGAAAATGTTACATAGCACAATGGCAATCTGAAGCATTAGAAATCTTCTCTTGCCTAGCAGTAATTTTCAGCTAATCAGACAACTTGAGCCTAGAAAATAATTTAAATTCAAGGTTATATGAGATGTTAATATGCTTTTCACAGCTGTACACAACTTTAGTTTCACAACCTGAAAGAATTTTGGGGATATGAGGAAAGTCATGGAATGTTTTTACAACAGCTGTGATAAGTGACCTCATATTATTAACCAGCAGTCCCACTTACTCTGTCATCCCAACTAATTATTAAGAATTTACTAGAAACTTTCTGCCTATCAACAGTAGTTATCTGAGTTATCAAGTACATTAAAATAAGCCTTCGTTATATAGAAAGCATCTTGGGTAAGTACACAATGCATAAATTAGACACATGGATATCGCTAATTTCACACTTAACTTGGCCCTTTAATACATATGGTTTGCTAATATGGTAAGAGATGGTTTTTGGATAATAAACAATGTTCATGGAAAATCACATTTTTTCTTTTATCCATTCTCCTATCTTCCTCCAGTTTCCTCCACTCCCTCCTGTGTGTGTGTATACATGTATATATATTATATATACACACACACATATATATATACATATATATACACACATATATATGTATGTATATCATCTACCATGTGCTGGGTAATGAGAAAAAAATACTTTAACTCTTGTGTACAGCTCAACAGCTAGGTAGTAATGGCCTTGGATGTTTTAAGGGGGAGGGAGGGTGGGAATAACCTCGGTATGAAATCTCAGTAGTTGACTGTGCTTAATTTGTTATTTGTCCATAGTTAATTACATATTAAACTCTATGGTATTCTGATATTTTATATTTTCTAAAATTATAAAATTTTGAAACATTTATATTTTACATTACTTTTATTAAGTTACTTTTGCATATAAACTCCCATTGTGGGATCATTTTAGCTAGTCTATATATACTTTATATGCTAATTTTTACTTGTTTATTTTTTGTAGGAAGTCCTGGCTGAGCAAGGTTGGAAGTCCTAGTTCTCGCATTGACCGCACGGACTTTTCTAACGAAAAAACCATCTCTAAACTTGAGTATTCTAATTTTAGTATTCGATACTAATAGAAATGATATTCTTATGTATTAGGGTAATAGTAGCAGAGTAGTAAGAAAAGGAACTCGTATCTGAAAGCTATATTATACAGATTACTAAAAACGTCTGACACTGAAATAGCTCTACTCAACTGTTTTTTCACAAGCAAAAATTACAATAGTATCTAAAATAAAAATGTCATTATAAAATACTTAATATGAATATTTAATTTAAACTTGTCTCATGGAAACTAATTCTAATGAATGTTATAGCTTATATGTTATTTGGCTAGGCTAGACATAATAAAGTTAACAGTACTTAAAAATACTTTTTAAATGGTTATCTGATTTGAATTCTAAAATCTTCCAAATAATAACTGTTATTAAGGTTGAGTAACCGGTAGTTAGATATAAACATATATGATGATTAGTATAACCCAAAAATAGTATCAAGAAAGAGTTAAATTTTTAAGTTCTGATTAAATGAGAACATGGTTCAGTACTTGAGGTTGGCACTCCTTCATGCATTCTGTGAACTACTTTGTTCTGTAGAGTGAACAGATGAGCTATGGCAACCCACAATTTCAGTAGAGCAAGCAACATGGTTTGTATCAACCACCCTCCATGATGGAGATCCCTTACCCAGAAGAACAACTGAGAGTCTCAATAGTCATACTGTCCCCCAAATTTGGCCTATCATTTGGGGATTTTCACATATAAATTATTTTTAAGCAACCAAAGTATTTTAAGGGGAAGTTTCATTTCTATATTATAGAATTACACCTCTGAAAACAGGGAGACCTTTAACTCAAAATACTGGATAATTTCAAAAGTTGCAGGTATATACTTGTATAAATCCTTCAGTGACTTTTCCAACACTTTAAAACAATGAATCCTTCATTCAGAAGAAATTTCCCTGGCATTCAAATTGTAAAGAAGGTGAAAAGACACAACTGGCGTGATTGAAATGGGTTTGGGGGAACCTGGAACATAGCACATTTGGTTTCATTTTCCCTCCTGCATCTTGTCCGCCTTGGGGATCCAGGTTAGAAACCACCGTCCTGTCTATGGGAGAAATGTCCACTGCCGCACTCCATGGTGCAGAGAGAGAATCTGGCCCCTCTCCTATGCCTGCGGCAAGATCCGAATTGAGAAAAGGAGGTGAAGGGTAGGCTGACATTGTTCACCTGAAAGGTTAACTCTGATGATAATATTGATATCCAATAGATATGACAGCACATTAGGGAATGACAAAGGTATTTTTAAAACTTGCCAAATACACGTAAAGAAATAATTTTCTTGTTACTTTAACACCATCATCACGTTAAGTGTTCTGCGTGTCACATATTATTCAGGAGAATCTATTGTGATACTCGTTTGAGTTTTGCTCTCCTGGTGCAAGGAAGGTGGACGAGTCTTTGTGTTCCCTTTTCTCAGGAGGGTTTGGTGCCAGACCCCCTGGAGACAACATTCCTTGGAAGGTTTCATTTTAAAGAGAGCATTAGGTTGTGAGTTGGGAAGAGACAAACATAGGCCTTTAGCAGGTAAAAGAGAAGCCAAAGAAACAAAGAAGAGTATTCAATACTTTGCAAAGGGATGAAAGGATGTGGGTTTCCTAAGAGATGGAGACCCGTGCCTTTCTCCTCAGGTGCACCTCCATGGGATGCTTAAGCCTGAGAAGGGAGCACCTGTACATCCAGAAGAGCTGGATCCCACTCACAGCAGCTCCCAGCCAGACTCCCATCCCCAAAAGTGCTGCCAAGCATCCTGATTACAAAGGACTGTGGTGTTTGGACAGTAGTCATGGTAACTGGTGTGGACAGGAGACTTCTCTTAATGCTCTCTCTGCCTGAGGACCCTGACATGGTCGTTCTGCAAGAGGGCGCGAAACACCAGGATGGCACCTTAACTTCCCACACACACACTGTGGGGCTTGAAGCGGCTCAGCTTCAGTTAGAGAAAATAAAATGGGCGTTTCTTGGACAGTCAAGTTGTAAAAAACCCTGTATGTCTTTATGCATAAAAAGGTTAAGTAATTTTGGAAAAAGATGATCTCTGATGTGACACCAATATGTCATCTTTTATTACCATGCTCTATTCTGAGTTCCCTTCCCAGCTCAGGTTACAAGAAAATCATACTTTGCTGGCACAATCTTCTAGCTGCACAAACAATAGTTAAGGTTGCTTAATGATTAATACATAACTGCATTCTATTACTGGGTGAGGAATGTTGTAAATAATTATTAAAAGTAGGTGTCATGAATGTAGAAAACAAGAGAAAAAAATGGTAAAGCAATGTGGTGTAGAGGCCAGATACATTTTAATTTCAAAAGTTAATGTCAAATTTTATGTCACATTTGAATAATAACAAACTGTGATATACTTAGTTTTGTTAGAATTAGACATTAAAAAAAACAAAAATAACCAAAAATATTAAGCAAAAGGTGGGTATCTACTTCAGTAAGTATCAACCAGGAGTCTCAACATTCCACCTGTCCATACCCATCTGCAAGCAACATATCAGAATTATGGGAGTATTATTTATAAAAGCAAACAATTATTTTTCACATTTATATAAAAATGACTGTCTTTATTTTTACTGACAGTAAGTCAGGCATTTGGATAAATGGAACAGAATAGAGAGCACAGAAATAAACCCATGTGCATATATGTAACAAAGGAGGCAAATATATACAATGGGGTAAAGACAGTCTTTTCAATAAATGTATTGGGAAAATTGGACAGATTCATGCAAAGAATGAATATGGATCACTTAAAAGGTTTTGTACAGCAAAAAACTATCAACAAAACAAAAAATCTGAATGGGAGAATATATTTACCAATGATATATCTAATAAAGAGTTAATATTCAAAAGATATTAGGAACTTACCGTATTTTTCGGACCATAAGACGCACTTTTCCCCCCCCCAGAAGTGGGGGGGAAAAGTCCCTGCGTCTTATGGTCCAAATATAGCCTACACATATACTTTAAAAAAAAAGGTTTTTTACTTGCCCGGCTCTGTGTGGTCTCTGTGTGCTTGCCCGGCTCTAAAATGGTTCTAAATGCTGCTGTTTACTTTACAGGGTTGATTACATGTGTTTATGACTGTGATGTTGGGTTTTAATGCACATAAAATATTTTAGGACACAATTTGTTTCAGAATCTTTTTTTCTTCATTTCCCTTCTCTAAAAACTGGTGCGTCTTATGGTCCGAAAAATACGGTATATAACTTAGCACAAAAAAAAAAAAAGAAAAAGAAAGAAAAAAGAAAAGAAAAAATCCAAACTATTCAAATTTAACCCTTTGCACTCCGCTGTCCCCTCTCAGGGGACATCGGAATTCTAGCATATCACTCGGATGTCCCCTCTCAGGGGGGACATTGCAGTTTATTAGCGATTACGGGGAATTGAGTTAATTCAACGCACGTGTCCGCCGCAAAGTAGCGTCGAGTAGCTGGTAGCCAATGTCCAGAATGGTTTGGAGTGCAAAGGGTTAAAAATGGACAGAGGACCTAAATAGACATTTCTCCAAAGAGGACATACAGATGGCCAATAAATATATGAAAAGATGCTCAACATCACTAATCATCAGGGAAATGCAAATTAAAACAAGGAGCTATCACCTCAGACCTATCAGAATATCATCAATAAATCAACAAATAAGTGTTGAGGATATTCAGAAAAGATAACCCTCGTGCACTATTGGTGGGGGTATAAATGGGTGAAGCCACTATGGAAAATAGTGTGGTGGTTTATAAAAAAAAAAAAATTGAAAATATAGCTAATGTGACCCAGCAATTCCACTTCTGGATATTCAAAAAAATCCAAAATTCTAATTCAACATATGCACCCTTATGCTTACTGCAGCATTATTTACAATATCCAAGATATGGAAGCAACCTCAGTGCCCATCAATACACAACTGGATAAAGAAAATGTGGTACATTTGTAACAGTGGAATATTATTCTGTTATGAAAAAGAATGAAATCTTGCCGTTGTGACAACATGGATAGACCTAGGGGTATTATGCTAAGAGAAGTAAGTCAGAGGAAGACAAATACCATAAGGTTTCACTTATGTATGGAATCTAAAAAACAAACACACAACGAAACAAACAAAAACCTAGATGCAGAGAAAAAAATTGACGATTGCCAGATAGAAGTGGGGGGAGGTGATGGTGGTGAGGGGATGGAGGAAAAGGTGAAGGGGACAAGAAATTCAAACTGCCAGTTATAAAAACAGTCATGGGATGTAAATTATAACATAGAGATTATTGTAATAACTATGTATGGTGTCAGATGGGTACTTGACTTACCATGCAATCACTTCCTAATTATATAAATGTCTAATCACTATGTTGTATAATTGACTACGTGATAATTATAATTGAAACTTTTTTTAATTTAAAAAATTTAAAGAAATGAAATAAAATTTTAAAAGCCTGTCCTTTTAATTTTTTCAACCTTGTTTGAAACTAGTCCACAGATTACAAGCACCCTGAGGCCAGCTTCAGTATTAATTTTCCTCCTTTTACGGCTACCAAGATCGGCGTTCAGGTCCGATGGGAAAGGGAACTGAGGGTGAAAAGCCTGTTTTCTTAAAATGTTAACTCATGAAATGAAGCTCAATAGAATTTTGGAGGGAATATGTAAATGACAGTCTTGACCAGGTGGGCCAGTCCATAGAAGCAACAGGGATGTGGGAGAGAGACGAGGTTTTCTATTAGGAAGGGTATAGGCTTCTAAGCTCTAGAAGAAGCGATCCACATTTCATCTGAGACTGGGAATACCCTGAAGCCTGCAGAAAGCTTGTGTCTGCAAGGCAGGTGCTGTGCTAACTAGGAACAGAGAAGCACTGAAGGAGGGAACTAATAGTTGGGGGGAGGGGAGGAACAGTGAATTTGACTTTGCTCGAAACTGGTCACCACTGTGACAACTACCGTATTTTTCGGACCATAAGACGCACGGGACCATAAGACGCACCAGTTTTTAGAGAAGGGAAATGAAGAAAAAAAGATTCTGAAACAAATAGTGTCCTAAAATATTTTATATGCATTAAATCCCAACATCACAGTCATAAACACATGTAATCAACCCTGTAAAGCACATGTGTCAAACACAAGGCCCGCGGGCCAAATCCGTCCCGCCAGGCCTTGCAATGTGGCCCGCACCGCACTATCACTGCACTCCGCTGTGTTTCCATCACAATGACAGTTTATGACTGTTCAGTAAACCATTCGGGCCGCGATTTAGGCTGGATTTTAGATTTTGGCCCCTTCTCTGATTGAGTTCGACACCCCTACTGTAAAGTAAACAGCATTTAGAACCATTTTAGAGCCGGGCAAGCACACAGAGACCACACAGAGCCGGGCAAGTAAAAAACCTTTTTTTTTAAAGTATATGTGTAGGCTATATTTGGACCATAAGACGCAGGGACTTTTCCCCCCCACTTCTGGGGGGGAAAAAGTGCATCTTATGGTCTGAAAAATACGGTAAGTATTTTCCGTTTTGTGTACCAAAGAAAAATTTCAGCAACATGTATCTCCATACTCATTCTTAGATAGGACAGAAAAACAGAATCTACTTCCAAAAATTAGCTTTGTATTTGGATGTATGTAGTCCACAAATATATTTCAATAGTAAGTAGCTCTCCCTGACCTCCATAGAATGCTCACTACTTGGTTAAAAGGAAAAGATCATCATGTCTGGAACTAATTTCAGGACCTGAAAATAGGCAGCATAGTATGGCAGAAAATATTCTGGTCTAGGGATCAGAAGACCTGCATCTGGGCCTGGCCCAGCCATTAATTTGCTGTGTGCCTAGGTACCCTCAACGTTTACTAAACCCATAATTTGGATTAAATCGGGACTTTGGCAGGATTCCAGGAAGCCAGAGGCTTCCCAGGAGGTGGTACCAGGGCAGCTGCAGAAGGGCCCTCATCCCTGCTCCAACCAGAGCAGCCCTCCCATCTCATCAGCTGTTAGGCTTCTCCCTAAGAAATCTTTTGAGGAGAATTCTGCCTCAAAGAAATAACAAAGACACTGAATTTGTCTCTGGAGTCTTCTTTTCAAGTTTCTATAATTGTTAAACCTTATTTCCTATTCTCTTGATTACTTCTGTCAAGCCATTGTGTTATGTCCCCTTTACCTTTAGCCGTTTGCACTGAAACAACATATACGTTGTGAAAAGCACTATTGGAAAAATCTTATTTTTCATAGTGGTCCCTAGAAGGGTCCATGGTCGATAAAATATTTCTGTAGTTGACTTTCAGTTGTCTCTTGTTTCTATTTTGATGTTTACCAAAATGAGAAATATGCAAGACAAAATACAAATATATGTGACTTAAAAAGTTTCATAAGCACGTCTTGCAGATTTTAACCTAACATGGAGAATTATGTGAAAGAGGCAATTTTCCTTTTTCTTAACTGGTTCGAATAATTTTGAACAAATCTGATATGAATTTTTCCATTTAGAATTTAAAGTCTAGTTACCCTATCTATGATCTCATTAGCAGTTTTTCCAATAGAAAATGAGTTTTTCTCCTCAAGAGCATGCTTTGTGCTTCCTCCTCTGTTTGAAGGTCAGTTCACACGCTTGGTTGGATGTCCAAGATAATTCTTTCATCCTCCAACTACATTTTTCTTGTCTTAGTTTTGTTTTCTATGTTGGCAAACTGGAAGCTTCAAATAGCAATGAACATAAACTTCCGATATGGCTTTCCTCCTACTCTCTCATTTTACAAATACTAGAAGCAGCACAGAGAAAGATTCAGTAGCTTCATTGTATTGGAAATGGAGTTTCTATTTCAAAACAATTCCGAAAAGCCAGGATTAACATCCATCACCTGGTCATTTGCAAGCATCAAAGCAGAATTCCTACTGAAATCTGGTCAGATTCATCTGGATTAGGAGCATGCTTAACCAGACAATTGGCATAAAGTGGACAGGCACAGCATAACATTGTTTTTTAGATGCAGGATCTATATCAACCAGAAAAAAAAAAAAGCAAAAGTTCTACCCCTCGGGTACTATTTTCTTATGAAGCAAAAGAAAGATCAGCCTTCCTGTCTTTTCTCTGACCCTAACTGCCCTTCTCTCTCCGCATTATAATTCCTAACGCACAGCACACAGGAGAGAGGATTCAGGGAGTGAGTGGCTCAGTGGGCAGTCCCATTACTGACAGCATGGACAACAAGGCAAGAGAACTTCCTAGATGTCTACTTATACTTTATAACTTATTTTATACATCCTTTTAAGTGTACAATGTACTTCATAATTTAAATAAAGATTTTCCTAGAGATCATAACCCTAGATTAGGATAGATCAATCACTCTAAGGCCTTTGATCTGAGAAGGCTACACTCCGTCAGCAAATGCAGTATATAACCAGACTCTCCTCATGAAAAAATGAATAAACTGGAAACAAAAATCAGCCCTGAAATTAAAAAAAAAAGCCCATACCCAAGGTAAATGGAATATTATCCTTTGGAATCAGGGGAAGTACATATCTTTAAAAGCTATAAGAAAAAAAGTTTCAGGAAAGATATGCTATGTCCTCCATCGCGTGTAATAAAAGTTGATCTTTGAAAGAAGAACAGGGAGCCACTGGGGAGAATATGTGCAGATTAAAAAATATATATATGGATTAAGAAAAATTACTTGAAATATAAAAACCACATTCTGAAGAGCAGCCAACACACACATACAATTACACACTTAGCTATGGAAACTACAGGAGACTCGAGAGGGAATAGGAAAACTGCATCTATTTTGGAATTAGTAACTGGCCACTTTCATTAGTGACACAGAGCTGTGGTTGGCAACCCCAGCTGATTATCAGAATTATCTACATAGCATTTTAAGCATACCTATTACAAGGCCCCACTCCAGACCTGATAAATCAGGGGCTTTCGTGGTTTTAGTCCTTGAACCTGCATGTTTAAAAAAATCCCCTGGTGATTTTGACAATCTGCAAAGCTCAGGAAACACCAGGGTAGAGAATAAATCTGAAAAGTTTATTTAAAAAGTAGAACAACAACAAAAGGAAAATGTGAGTGTGAAAGTGATTAATTTAGAGGAATGAGGGCACACATCTAACCCATCAGTAAGTCAGTAATAGAACTTCATGGGGGTAGGGGGGTAGAATTGAAACAGAAGGCAAAACCACTCATGATAGAAGAAAACTTCCTTGAGTTAAAAAAAAAAGCTATAAATTATACAGTGTAAAGTTATATAGCTAAGAAGGACTTGAGTTTTAAGCAAAAATTACTGAAAAGAGGCTCCTACACAAAGCATGGCTTAAAAAAATAAAATTTCAAGATAAGAACTCTCTAGCATTCACCTCAAGAAGAACCTAATGGCTGCCCAGCAATGCTCCAGTTTTTCTAATCCATCCACGCTCACTCTCCTAGACAACCACTGCACACTCACTCCCCACTCAGCCATGATTGTGCTTCTGTTTCCAGCAGCAGAACTTCCACAAGCCTCCCCCACTGCATCTGCTTACCTGCCCTACGTCTGTGCTCACCCTTACCTTCCTGCCTCTTACTGTGGATGCACCATCTATGCGCCCAATGAAGGCAATGCCCAGATCCCACTTCCTCCAGGTCGCCGCTCCTGCAATTCTCACTCTTACATCATCCATTTCCATTCCCCACGGGATTCTCTTTCCCGTCAGTCTGCAAACATGCTATTAATGTCCCCCCCTCTGACCCCTCTAGCTGCCACCGCATCTCTCTCCCTTTTAGAGAAACTCCTCCAAAAATGCTGTCTATACTTGATGTAATCCACTCACTCCATTTTCTGCACTGTAGAACTATTGTAAAAAATTTCAAAAGAACACATTCTATGATGTGTTACATAATGGATTACTCTGAAAATATAAAAATCAGTTATATGTCGAAACTTTTTCATTTGCCTAACTGTATATCGTAATTTTAAAAGGGAAAGAGCTTTGCATTTATGGTTGCATATAATTGAACAAATATTTTAATAAAATAGAAAATAAAACTACCTTAATGGGCCAAAATTGAGACGAATAAAAGATTTAATATTAGATTTTTAGAAAATTGAGAGGACATACTGTAAATTCTTCCAGTCTGTCTATGACCTCTTCCCCCTCCCCTCCCACCAATTTGTTTCAATTTAGCAAAATAAGCCTCTTAATGGGCCCCACTGGTGCCTCCAATATGCAGTCTGAATAATACATCTGACACCTCAGCATTCTGGGATTTAAGCTATAGCTTAACTCTGGTTTTAAAAAGAATGCCAATGCCCCATTCAATTTATTGTTTCACTCCATTGTTTGAAAACAAGAGTGGGGAGAAAAACATTAGTTATTTCCAAATGTCATCAAATGTGGGTGGCTCTCAGTGTTTAGAGCTGTCCATCCAGAGCACAGCACAGGGTTTTAATTTGGCGGGGTGTGTATACACGGCCATTGCTGCCAGCCATGAGGGCAAGCTCTTTACCAATACAAGGACAAATTTGACCAGCAAGCACATCCTTTAGTAGTCAACGTTTTGAAAAATTAAAACTAACACCATTGTCCAAAGAAAAAATGTGGGTGCTTTAGATGGCGTTTG